TTCTAGAATGCCTGCAGAAAAGCTAGTGAGTTTCATGTTTATAGGCTACATCTATCACTGTGAGATTCTAACTTTGGTTGCTTTTGTTATTTTCATTTTATAAAGGGAACTGAGGCCCAAAGTAATGACTCTCCAAGATCACACAGTTATTTAATGGTGGCCTAGGAGGGTCTTGAATCCAGATCATCTTAGTGAAAATTCCAAGCTCTAGGCCTCCCCACCTTCCTGAGTGTCAAGGCTGGAGAGGCAAATGTGGTCACAAAAGGATGGGAGCAGGTCCTAATGGTAGTATGTGCTGGAACCCCAGCCCCTGAACAATGAGAGGAGAGCGGTCCTCAGAGTCTACTTCATAAGGTTTAAGGAACTTCCCTGAAGCCGTTCATTCATTTATTCTCTCACTCAACACCTGCCCTGACCACAGTTCTCAAGGGTTCAGGTAAGGACCTTAGGCTGTCCCCTTCCACATCCTCCATGGACACCCAGGACACCTGGGTCCCCTCAGAATAAGTACCTTTAAGTTTCATCTTTTTAGCAGTAAAGATTTCTGGACATGTTGAGGTTGTTTCTGCTACAGACACAAAGAGCTCACATCTCATCTCAGTGAGGCCTTTCCTGACTATAATGTCTGCCTCTGTTCTCTTCATGGAAACAGCCTCATGCCAAAGAGTGTTTATGGTTTGTAGTAAATATTTTAATTCTTTGAGAGTTCCATGCAATGTGTTTTGATCACGTTTACCCAGATCCACCCTGTCTTGTTAGGGTTTCTATTGATGTGATACAACACTATGATCAAAAGAAACTTGGGGAGGAAAGGATTTATTTCAGCTCACAACTACTGGATCACACTCCATCACAGAAGGAAGTCAGGATAGAAACTCAAGACAGGAACCTGAAGGCAGAAACCAAAGCAGAAGCCATAGAGGAACAGTGCTTACTGGCTTGTTCTGTATGGTTTGCTCAGCCTGCTTTGCTATACAACTCAGGACACCCTGTCCAGGGTTGACACTACCTAAATTATGCTGGGCACTCCCACATCAATCACAAGAAAACACTGGACAGACTTGCCTATATGTACTTTCTCAATTGAGAATCCCTCATCCAAAATGACTTTAACTTGTGTCAAGTTGACACAAAACTAACCAGCACACATCCCCCACCTTCCTCCTTTCCCCAGCTCCCCACCCCCTTTTTTGGTTGTTGTTAATTTAATAATTCATCAATTCCAATTTATGCTGTCCATATATTTCTGGGTGTCGGGCCACCCACTGGAGTGTGGTTGACCTACCAGGAGCCGTATCTTCAAAGAAAACTGACTGTCCCTCCCTCCCTCCTCCAAAGCCATCAAATATCCGTATCTCCTCAGTTAGGGGTGGAGACTCATGAACTACATCTCACTCCATGCTAAAATGTTGGCTAGCTTGATCTTATGGAGGCAAACACAGCTGTTGTGAGTTCATGAGTGCTGCCATTCTGTCGTGGCCAAAAGACACTCTTGCTTCAGTCTTCACCAACCTCTGGGTCTTATAATCATCCTGTCCATGATGGTCCCTGAGCCTTGGGCAGGAGATAGGATATAGGTACCTCATTAGTGACTGAGCACTCCACAGTCACTTGTTCTCGGAACTTTGACCAGTTGTGAGTTTCTGCATTAACCACAAGGAAACTTCTCCAATGTTATCTGAGAGCTTCACTAATCTATGAGTATAAAGATATGAATTTAGAGGGCAGTCTGAGACTATGTTAATCTAGAGAAATGATGCCAGTAAGTTCACATCTGGAGCCTATGAGCTCCTCAACCATGTGCTCTTGGCCAGATTAACAGAACCAAGCATGTGTTGTCCAATTTGTGCTGTCCACATGCTGTCCATATACACATATGGATATGGGCCCACCCCTAGATTGTGGTTGACTTACTATCTTTGCAGAAGACTGTCTCTCCCCACCAAAAGCCATCAAATGTCCATAGCTCCTCCTTTAGGAGTGTGGACTCCTGTAGATCAGGCCTTAAACCCAAACAAAAGTTCTTGGTTATCACTATAACATTCATTCTGCTTTGTCGTCCATGGGCATATCTTGCCATGCTGGCCATTATTGCAGTTCACAGAGTTCACAGCTGAATAAGACTGTTATTGACTCCTCCCACCCCACCCCCCACTCCCACCCAGAAGCCTGCATAGCACTTTCTAGTGCTATGAAAGCTGGCCAGCAGGGAGGAAGCTTGCTGGTCAGTACCAACTTGATTTCTCCATGCCCTATGACCAATGTGTGTAGTGTCTTCGGCAATAGAGTCTTACCAAGTTCTGGTGGTCAACCAAGAGCAATGGCAATAGGCTGTGTTGTTTGGGACGGGGCTCCAGGACACCCTTAACTGACAACTCAGAACTAGGTATTTTATTTGGCAACCTGTAACTTCTGGGAGGAGCATTAATCCCTATGCAGATAACTGCAGTTAAACTTTTTGTATAATATATATGAAGCTTATAAAATAGGAGGTTGCCATATCGCTTCTTCAAAAATCACTGGAGTTAGTCTTCCCTCACGGACCTCCTTGCCCTACCCTTTTATCCCTCTTCCCACTTTCCCTCCCTGTTATCCCCCTCCCCCTTCATATCACCCATGTTCCGCTGGCCTCCCTCCCTTAAGATCTTTCTTCCCCCCACACACACCAATGGTCCCTTTCTGGTTTTCTGGGTTCTACAGATACTCCAAATTAAACACAAATCTAAGACTTGATGTTAAAACACATATATGAGTGAGAACATGTAATGCTTGTCTTTCTTGGTCTGCTTACTACCAAGTTTTTTTTTTTTTTGAAGGTCTCCATTTTTTTTTATTCTTTATGTACAAAGACTAGCATGATCTGTTACACTGGGTAGACAGTCTTGAATAATCCATTCAAGGTTGCTTAGTCCAACTTAATGAAGCCTATGTCCTTCGCGTACTGACGGAAGCACTGACAGCACATGTTCAGCCCGTATTTTCGGATCAGACCGTGGCGGTTGGAGCAGACGCGGCAAGAGCGAGAGCCCTGGCCGAACTTGCGCGGGTGACTCCAGTAGAGCTGCTGGTGACCCATCTTGCCTTCAGCCGGCCGGAGAGGAAAAAGGCCCACCAAGTTTTTTTTAATGTCATCATACACTCATTTTTTTAATAGCAAGTTGGCTCCGTGAACATAAAAGTTCTGCTTCTTTTACTCTAAGATTGTATCCCTGAACCCCGTTGATAGTAGGTGCTATGAAAGAAATATTGATGAATAAATGAATGAGTGTGTGAGTGAGTGAATGATTGGCTGGGTAGCCTCACTTGTTTCCTTACATCTTCTCTTCCCCCATCTGTCTCCCTCTCTCTTGCAGATATGGAGACATGGTGCCTAAGACGATCGCAGGGAAGATATTTGGCTCTATCTGCTCGCTGAGTGGTGTCCTGGTCATTGCTCTGCCAGTCCCTGTGATAGTCTCTAACTTTAGCCGGATCTACCACCAGAACCAGAGAGCAGATAAACGCAGGGCACAAAAGGTAAGCCTTAGAAACAGGGTTGGGGATGAAGGAGTAAGAAGGGTAGGAGACTCAAGACAGTCTAGCCAGGCCTCAATTCTTTGGAGGATCACTACCCAGACTCCCTCTGGCTTGGAAAGATAAGGCAACTTCATGTCTCCTACTCCTCACTAATGTCCTCAGTTCTAGCCCCAGCCTGCTGATACAGCAAACCCTCACTACTGACACATAACTGGATTGGCCTTTTACGTAGTCTATTGAACTGGCCCATAGCTCCACTTCTACACGCCCAGCCATGGCCACCAAAGCAGCTCCTGGCTCCTCCTTTTCCCATCCCAGAGCTTTACCAGGAAACAAAATGTCATTTTAATATCCTGTTGAGGTCCTATACATAAGTAAGTGACAAAAAAATAAATGTGCAGAAAGGAAAAATGAACACCATGAGAGCAGAACACTCTGTGACTGTGGCCACTGTGTTCTGGGTCAAATGGAACATTAAATGTCAGGAAGCACCAGGGTGCTATGTAGAGTCACAGAACCCAACCGGTGACTGGAGAGTCAGCATTAGGCCTGGGGAAAGTTCTAAGTTCTGCCAAGTGTTTATTTAGGATGACAGGTTAAGTGAAATGTTGTCTGTCCATACAGAGCCAGATGTCTGCAGGCTGGTATGTGCAGAAGCCTCTTTTGCACTTAGCCTTCAGGCTTGTCTCTGGGACAGCACAGCCACACCAACCCCTAGGCATCTTCCAGAGATGGTTCCTGCCAATGACTTTTGCTGGGGTCCTGTATTATTAACATTTGCATTGTTGTAACAAATGCCTGTCATACATGATTAAAAGAAAAATAACTATTTTGACTCACAGTTTCAGAAGAATTAGTCTGTCTGCTGGCCCTACACATCATGGCATCAGGAGGAGCACGTGGAGATTGTTCTTCACCTCTCAGTGGACAGGTGGCAAAGAGGAAGGAATTTGCTTTTTTTTTTTCCATCTGAGTTCACAGCCCACAGTACCACTCACATTAAAGTGGGTCTTCCCCAGTTAATTCTCTTTAGAAATGCCATCACAGACACTCCTGGGTGTGTGTGCCTCACCAGTCTCCTGGGTGATTCTCAATTCAGTCAAGTTGGCAAAGACTAGAAGTGAAGGGATATCTGAGGGGAAGTTTCTACTTCCCTTTTGATCTGGGCCAAAAATGGCACCCTTATTGTCTCGGGCTCTGAGGTCATGATCAATCTCTGGGTACAAAGGACAGAAGGGCACCTTGTTGGAAGATTAGCTTAGACAGCACAAGGATTTTGCTCTCTGTGATTTATTCTTTCTCCTATCCCTTCACTTCTTCTACAGACATTCACATAAGCACCTTCCATGTGACAGGTCCCGTAGCTAGATGACTAGCTCCCACTTGCAAGAATAACCCCTGGGGTAGCAGGGCTTTATACTGTACAAAGCAATCTAGAACCTCAGAATAGGTCTGTGTGTACTGACTGTAGCAAAGCCACAAGTTTAAGCTAACTCTAAAACAATGGTTACATAACAATTTACATAGAACAGTAAATAGTATAATCATACACTAAACCTACTTGGTCCCTCTATCCCAAATATGACCTCTTGTGTGTTCTTGTATCACCTCCTCCTTACCTTCCTGCCCCCCATACCTGTGCCTGGTCTGTGTTATCGATAGCTGGAAAGTCTTTCTTCTTACATCCTTTCTCCTACACCATCTATCTTCACCCAAGGTCAAGGTCTTCCCTCTTCCAGACACTCCAGAAATGAAAGTCATGTTATCTCTCCCAGCTCAAGTCAGCTGGTAAATGTGAGCAATGACTAAATTCATCATGCAGTTCTAAATAAGGGGGCAGAGGAAAACTGGGCTCCCACATCCAAACTCTGGGGTCCTGAGGGCCAGGGAATCCTGCAGCACACTCTGCCCTCACACCCCTTAAACCTGAGCAAATACAAACCCAGGCTTTCCCCACAGCTGGTAGGGTTCTCAGAAGTGCCAGGCTCAATGGTGACAGCTCCTCCAAAGGCAGTTGTGCTCTGCAGCCACCTTCCCCTCCCTGGTGGCACCGTTCCTACTTCTCAAAGAAGCTCAACTGCAAAGACTACAACAGTGACTTCTTTCCCGTGGATTGTGTAAAGCTTACTGTGTTCAATTAAAGTCCAGAAGGACCCACTCTGGCTTTGTCCTCCCTCTGAGCTACTCAAGATGAGCCCTACCTAACCCTTTTGTCTCTCCTTTGAAATAAGTAAATATTTACAGTGTTTTCCCGAGCCTGGATACTGTTTCTCCTCAAGGTTGCACAGCTCTGTCTCTTTCACCTTGGGCTTCCTGTGAGAGGAAAAAAACAATACTGTCTGCTTCCAGCACTCAGTCTGTCATGGTGAGCCAAGGCAAGACGGGCCCAGGGGACTTGGTGAAAGTGGAGAGACGGGACAGGGAGGAGGTCAAAGAAGCTAATGATAGCCCTTAGCTCTGCCCACGCTTCTGGGAGCTGTATGGGCATAAAAGTAAGTTCCAGTTCAGGGGCCTTGTGGATAGAGGCTCCAAAAGAAACTAGTGTCTTCACATACATCTAGCCTTGGGGACTGTCTTCCCTAGGTCAAGAGAACCAAAGATGACTCAAGGTTGCCTAGCAGAGGCACCTGGGATAGGGCCTGGAGAGGCCACCACCTGTCCCAACTCCACCCACATTTTTTGGTCTCAAGGGAGATTGTTTTAGTTTTGCTTACATTTTTATTTTTGTTGTGCTGGAGATTAAACCCAGGACCTTGTTCGTGGCAGGTAAAAATACTCTGTCCCTTAACTACACCCCAGCACCATATCCTTTGTTTTTAATAGAATTTTTATTGGGATAATTATAGATGATATAGTTGCAAAAAAATAGGTCCTTTTTGTACTGTGCCCAGTTTTGTCTAACAGTAACATTCTATAGAGTTATACAGTACACAAAGGGTTTAAAGGGTATGAAGCCACCCCTCTAACCCATCTTGCCCAGATCGCCCCAGTTTTGTGTGTGTGTGTGTGTGTGTGTGTGTGTGTGTGTGTGTGTCACAGTTTCTTCACCCAGTTCCTACAGACCCAGCAGCTTCATGACTATAAGACTAGCCAGTTCCCTCATGATAATCACACTCCTGCTATATCTCTACCCATCCCTTACTCCTGGAAACTATTTGTCTGATCTCCACTTATAAAACATTTTCATTTCAAAAGAGTTACATAAATGTACTCATGCAGTTGGTAACCTGTGGGAGTTGGCCTTTTTCATTCATATAATTCCCAGAGACTAATTAAAATTATATCACTAGTTCCTTATACCAGACCTAGTGGTGCAGACCTGTGATTCAGGAGGCTGAAACAGGAGAATCACAAGTTCTAGGTCGACCTGGGCTACAGCATCATCCCAAGCCAGCTTGGGTAACTCAACAAGATTTTGTGTCAAAAAAATTAAAAGTTCATTCACTTTTCTCACTCAGTAGAGCTCTGTTGGATGTTTGCCTGTTGAAAAGCACCTGGGATAGAAACAGTTTCCTGTTACTACAAAGAAGTATTCTTATGTATGGGTTTACATCAACATAAGTCTTAAAGTCTCTGAAAAATGTCTAAGTGTACAACTGCCTGTGTTTCCATTTCTCACTTGTCTCCCTTCTGCCTCTCACGGGGCAAGAAATGCAAAAACTCGTGTCCAGGCAGTCCCTGCCATTTGCCTGATAGAAAGTCCCAGTTGTGCCAGGCTCTGCAGGGGTTCCCAAATGGTCTTTATCAGTAATGGTGGCAGACCATGTCCAGGGCTGACAGTATTGTACCATATCTCTCCTCTAACCTCAAAGCTCCATTTATCCTGTTGAAGATGCAGATTGCTGGGCTTTGCCCTTCAAGTTTAGAAATGTACCTGAGAGGAGGTGAACTCAAGGAGGAAGGAGAAATGCGCCTTGTATTTGGCTTCCTAGTTGGAGGACATGAGCTGAAACCTTTCTAATCCATTCCCTCACCCTCGCTGAGTGTCTCCCCCTCATGAACTCCATTTTTTAAATCAATTCATTATTAATTGTTTGACCTTTGAAACAGCCTAAATGGTTGCTACATGCTCCCATCTTTCATGGTGTCTTTATGGTTGTGGATGAGAGAGAGTGGAAGTTGATCAGTCCACACAAAGACTGAACCCATTACAAGGGCTTTATAAGCATAGGCCTCCAGCCAACCATGCTTGGTTTTCCTTCATTGGCTACCACAAGCTTTGCTTGAATTCCTGTTCGGTTCGGAGCGTGCAATGGTTGCTGGCAATGAAAGAATGGGCCTAAGTCTCAGGCTTTGACCCCCAGGAACACAAAACCAGGCAGAGAGCACCACCAAGTTTCACACACTTGATACCATTTTGTAAACCTTCCTCAAACCTGTGTTTCTCATTTGGGAATGATTAAATGATACGGTATGTTTGATGTGACAATCTTCCACCTTAATAGAATCCAGAGTGAGATAAGATTAAAAGAAGCGCCTCAGAGGGGAACGGAAGAACCTTTCATCTCTGGAAAGTAATAAAGACAGAGCCTACATATGAGAAAGGTCTGGCTCTAAGTGGCAATCAGATTACATAAGGCTGTAATGAGCT